TCAGTCTGGTACAGGCACAGGACGGACCCATTCTGGTAGACGTATGTAACATACTAGAGTTTTCTTCTTCTTTTACAGATGGTTTATGAAAACGGGATTATTTTCGTAAAATGTCAGTATAGTAAGTAAATTTGAACGGCGATGTTAGTCGTACAGGAACTACTATCTGATTAATAACAAGCTGTCAGATACATGCGTGATGCCTAGATACTCTGGGCAGGGTAGTATCATGCTCTGAAATTTCATTATGTTTGATTTCATATTGTGATCAAGCATTTCGTCGAGTCCATATTTCGGTACGACGTTAAGCATGCGTACAATGCACACTAAACTATATGTGCCATGTCACATTCCATTCCTTGAGGCTCTGTGTGTGTAAATTGTGTAAAAAAATATAATTTATAGGGAGCTGAAAACAATGGCTGCTCAACCTAATGGATGGTATATGTGGGTTTTTTATGATAACCGAGATGATGGTTAGATAATTAAAAACAATATTAAAAGGCAAGTAATGGTCATTGTTTAGTGTCCTTGTAACATTGACACCACAGTATGTAAGATTAAGGTTTCTACCTCTAAATGATTTACCAGATTTAGCAAATCCCCAAAATCAACGATATTAGAGATAGCCATACTATTTGCTGGTCGGGTGGTCGGTTTGCGCAGAGGAGAGCGCACTTGCCTTTCACCAAGGCGGTCGGGGTTCGATTTCCCGATCGGACGTGAAAAGGTATGAGGTCACCTGCCCGACCACGTAGGTTTTCTCCGGGTACTCCGGTTTCCTCCCACAGTAAGACCCCCGCACGCGCTAACATCAGGGCCAACAAGAGTGGTTAGTATAAGTTGTAAAATGAACGAAGTTTATATTTTTTATCATTTGCTGATTTCTAATTTCTGCTATATTTAAGGCCTCAAACCAAACATGTCTGCATATTGAATTACTTTTCATACTGAATGTTGTTGGGTTGAACAAACAGCGTACGTAGTCGTGAACAACTTATTGTAGAACATCACACTGGAATGTGGAGCGTCTAACTGGACTCTGGTGGACACATGGTGCCTCAGACTAGTCGACCATCAGTCAACGTGGATCGAGGCTCACGGGATCTGTAGAAGGTAACGTGCAACATGTTACCAACTCAGTGTCGGACACGGGAAGGTTTGGGGTGTTGCTTCTGCTATCAGAAAAGGGAAATTACTTTTATTCTTTAAAATGACGGTTATGGGGTATTATGTGTGGCTCAAATGAAGTTTTGAGGTTAAATTTCCCTCCTTAGAAATCCTTGATCGGCCATTGTGCCAAATGCCGTTTCTTTTAAAACTGTCAATGTCAATCTATCATTAATTGTTAGACAGTTCACTGCCTATTTTTCATGTTCTAGCTACGAATCAAATCTGGTCGCAGTCACCGATCGTCTGCTTCACAATGACGTCGTCGAACTTATCCGCACTGCGCATGCTCAGTATTGGATCGGTAAGTTTGGGTGATGCTAGGTCTGACGTCACGCCCTCAGTTGTATACATTTATATTATAATTATGTTTCCACTTGTATCTTCTTTTATTTTCCGTATTGTGTTGGTCTGTGGTATATTACGTCTGGTGTTATGTTCTGTAAAATACTTGCTTCCTCTAATCTGCTGTTCTGTGATGGCGTATGTTTCTGGAATGACGTTTGTTTCTTATCGTCCGCTGGTCAGTGATGACGATTTATTAAATGTTGTCTGCTGGTCTGTGATGACGCATATTTCATATTGCCTGCTGGTCGGTGATGACGTATGTTTCCTATTGTCTGCTGGTCCGTGATGACGTATGTTTCATATTGTCTGCTGTTCTGTGATGACGCATATTTCATATTGTCTGCTGGTCTTTGATGGCGTACGTTTCATATTGTCTGCTGTTCTTTGATGACGTATATTTCATATTGTCTGCTGTTCTGTAGTGACGTATGTTTCACATTGTCTGCTGTTTTGTGATGACGTATATTTCATATTGTCTGCTGTTCTTTGATGACGTATATTTCATATTGTCTGCTATTCTGTAGTGACGTATGTTTCACATTGCCTGCTGTTCTGTGGTGACGTATGTTTCATATTGTTTGTTGTTCTGTGGTGACGTATGTTTCACATTGTCTGCTATTCTGTAGTGACGTATGTTTCACATTGTCTGCTGGTCTGTAATGACGTATGTTTCACATTGTCTGCTGTTCTGTGATGACGTATGTTTCATATTGTCTGCTGTTCTGTGGTGACGTATGTTTCACATTGTCTGCTGTTCTGTGATTACGTATGTTTCACATTGTCTGCTGTTCTGTGATGACGTATGTTTCACATTGTCTGCTGTTCTGTGATGACGTATGTGTCACATTGTCTGCTGGTCGTTGTTGACTTATGTTTCATATTGTCTGCTGTTCTGTTGTGACGTATGTTTCATATTGTCTGATGTTCTGTGATGACGTATGTTTCATATTGTCTGCTGTTCTGTGGTGACGTATGTTTCACATTGTCTGCTGTTCTGTGATGACGTATGTTTCACAGTGTCTGCTGTTCTGTGATGACGTATGTGTCACATTGTCTGCTGGTCGTTGTTGACGTATGTTTCACATTGTCTGCTGTTCTGTGGTGACGTATGTTTCACATTGTCTGCTGGGCTGTGATGACGTATGTTTCACATTGTCTTCTGGTCTGTGATGACGTATGTTTCACATTGTCTGATGTTCTGTGATGACGTATGTTTCATATTGTTTGTTGTTCTGTGGTGACGTATGCTTCATATTGATTGTTGTTTCGTGATGACGTATGTTTCACATTGTCTGCTGGTCTTTGATGACGTATGTTTCACATTGTCTGCTGGTCTGTAATTACGTATGTTTCACATTGTCTGATGTTCTGTGATGACGTATGTTTCATATTGTCTGCTGGTCTGTGATGACGTATGTTTCACATTGTCTGCTGTTCTGTGGTGATGTATGTTTCATATTATTTGTTGTTCTATGATGACTTCTGTTTTATATTGTTTGTTGTTCTGTGATGACGTATGTTTCATATTGTTTGTTGTTCTGTGGTGACGTATGTTTCATTTTGTTTGTTGTTCTGTGGTGACGTATGTTTCATATTGTTTGTTGTTCTGTGGTGACGTATGTTTCATATTGATTGATATTCTGTGGTGACGTATGTTTCATATTGTTTGTTGTTCTGTGGTGACGTATATTTCATATTGATTGTTGTTTCGTGATGACGTATGTTTCATATTGCCTGCTGGTCTTTGATGACGTATATTTCATATTGTCTGCTGTTCTGTAGTGACGTAGGTTTCACATTGTCTGCTGGTCTGTGATGACGTATTTTTCACATTGTTTGTTGTTCTGTGGTGAGGTATGTTTCATATTGTCTGCTGGTCTGTAATGACGTATGTTTCACATTGTCTGCTGGTCTGTGATGACGTATGTTTCACATTGTCTGCTGTTCTGTGATGACGTATGTTTCACATTGTCTGCTGGTCTGTAATGACGTATGTTTCACATTGTCTGCTGGTCTGTAATGACGTATGTTTCTACGTTGTTCTGTGGTGACGTATGTTTCATATTGTTTGTTGTTCTGTGATGACGTATGGTTCATATTGCCTGTTGTTCTGTGATGACGTATGTTTCCTATTGTTTGTTGTTCAGTGGTGACGTATGTGTCATATTGTTTGTTGTTCTGTGATGACGTATGGTTCATATTGCCTGTTGTTCTGCGATGACGTATGTTTCCTATTGTTTGTTGTTTTGTGGTGACGTATGTTTCATATTGTTTGTTGTTCAGTGGTGACGTATGTTTTCTATTGTTTGTTGTTCTGTGATGACGTATGGTTCAAATTGCCTGTTGTTCTGTGATGACGTATGTTTCCTATTGTGTGCAGTTCTGTGATGACGTCTGGTTCATATTGATTGTTGTTTCGTGATGACGTATGTTTCATATTGATTGTTGTTCTGTGGTGACGTATATTTCATATTGTTTGTGATAGCAAAAAGGATCAGGAAACACCTTAGCGTTACTGTTTTGAATGTTGAAAATATCATAGTCAAAGACACGTTCCGATAAACTCATCACAGCACGATGCTCATGTTCATAATAATCTTAATGTTTTCAAGGATTGTTTACAGTGTAGTGATGAGAATAATGCTAATATACTTGAAAAAATATAATTCATTTTACTTCCAAGCCTTTTATTATACAAAATGTTGAATATAAGATAATTTGACTAATGTCGGTGGCTAGATGATGATACCAATGATGCCTTGAATTAGTATAGATTTCTACAAGATATTTATAAACTACATATTACCAAAATATATATGCCAGTGTATGGCGAGGGACTTCGTGTGATGTGAATCCCATCGAGGTTCCTTGCTTAACACAATAAATGAGACTTACTTTCAACTAAATCGTTGTTACTCCCCTTGCATCACTATTTATTTAACTACTTCTACTATGTAGCAGTGCTCTGAAATGAAATGAAATGGCATATCATGTGAAAATCTTATTAAATAATATCATATCGTATATACTTCCGGAGATGACATACTTTCTTTATGAAATATGTTGAATAGATCCTTTTCAAGATAAAATGTACCTGTTTATATAGCGCCATATACGATTTGTAAACTTACTCTTAAGCGCTTTTGATAAGATATAAAGAGCATGATATATGTTATATAGATTATTAAACATCCCCTCTCGATAAAAATATATTGATTTCTTGTCAAAGTATGGTAAAAATAAAGTCCTTTAATTATTTGTTTCATGTTTTATTTCTTACCATTTGGCATTAAAATCTATGTAAAAAACATAAGAAATGTATCTTATACTGTAGTTTCGCTCTACATCCATATTTTAGGTCTAACGCTACTTCAAAACCTGACTGGTGATGTATGGAAACCAGAAACACACATTGCATCTCTGCTGCAAGTTGACGCGTCAGTGGACAATGGGCTCGTGGCGAAATGGTCAAATGGTGAGAACGGGACAGAGTTCCAGGGATACTGGGATGTACGCCAGCCTGACCTACCCCGGGGAAGCTGTGTATATATGAGGGAGGACACTACAGGCCGGTGGAGGTGGGCGGTGGGGAACTGTGACGCTAGGAGGAAGTTCATCTGTCAGTATGCTGCCTGCAATCAAGGTAAGCTGACCATAGTTGTTTTCCATCATCTATTCATTACTAATTCTGTACGTTCCTGTTTGTGACAATCCTATTTGTGACAATCCTGTTCGTGACAATCCTGTTTGTGACAATCCTATTTGTGACAATCCTGTTTGTGACAATCCTGTTTGTGGTAGTCCTGTATGTGACAATCCTGTATGTAACAATCCTATTTGTGACAATCCTGTTTGTGACAATCCTGTTTGTGACAATCCTATTTGTGACAATCCTGTTCGTGACAATCCTGTTTGTGGTAGTCCTGTTCATGACAATCCTGTTTGTGACAATCCTGTTTGTGACAATCCTGTCTGTGACAATCCTGTTTGTGGTAGTCCTGTATGTGACAATCCTGTATGTAACAATCCTATTTGTGACAATCTTGTTTGTGACAATCCTGTTTGTGACAATCCTATTTGTGACAATCCTGTTCGTGACAATCCTGTTTGTGGTAGTCCTGTTTGTGGTTGTCCTGTTCGTGACAATCCTATTTGTGACAATCCTGTTTGTGGTAGTCCTGTTTGTGGTAGTCCTGTTTGTGGTAGTCCTGTTCGTGACAATCCTATTTGTGACAATCCTGTTTGTGGTAGTCCTGTTTGTGGTAGTCCTGTTTGTG